TAATTAGAAAGAACCCGTTATTTTATCTGTTTTCGCAGTAGTTAAATTTCAAAAGGTGACGACTTCGATACCCATTTAAAAAATAGGGTACTGTACCTACTATGCATTTGATTGGGCCAAATCATTATATCCGTTTTAATTTAGATTTAAATAATTCAACTACATCATTCTGATTGGTCCATGTGGACAAAAGTATGGTACCTTATGGGTACCATAGAATCTACCATTCCAAAATCCAATCTCGCACATCGCATTTTTTTTATTTAGTTTTATCGCTTAATTTATTTAATTCTTGATTTTCTTTTTCCGTCCATGTGGAGATGATACTCGTACTTTACCCCTATTCAACTACATATTTTAAGTGCGAGAAAACTCATCATATACACATATATGTATATGAACATCCGTATTAATGAGAGTATGGCTCCAAAAACTAAAATACGAAAGTTGACATTTTCAATCAAATTAAAAACATTTTTAATCTACAATACAATGTGATAGCATTAAGATATAGATTGTGGTCCATATTTAGAGAAGTGGAAGAAGATGGTTCTGGTTTATAAAGATGCAAATGAGAGGGCATTGAATTTTTCAACATAAGCAGTGATTTTGTTGCTAGAGTAGTCTTCCGGTCAGGTATACCTGACCGGAGCCCCGTCCGGGCCTCCTCCATTTGGCGGCCTTCCCGGTGGTATTTTTTGCTCAAATTTTTTGTGTAGGTTCCTCATCAAGTCTAGTTCATCCATACCAAATTTCAGCCAAAAATTCAATCGGGAAGGTCGTCAAATGATTTTTGCACGTTAACTGGTCCGGAAAATACATATTCCGGACCAGTTAACTTGCAAAAAATAATTTGACAAACTTCCCGATTGAATTTTTGGCTGAAATTTGGTATGGATGAACTAGACTTGATGAGGAACCTACACAACAAATATGAGCAAACAATACCATCGGGAAGGCCCCCAAATGGAGGAGGCCGGACGGGGGAGTGGTCCGGCCTGGCCGGACCTGAATATTTGCTATGGGCGTCCAACAATATACAGTAATTGGAAACAAAGCTATCAGAAATATGCTATAGAAATATTTTCATGTATTGCTAATTAAGTGTGAGTCATACACAGTACAAGATCAAAACAAAAATGACGTATACATAGCATACTAACATGAGTATAGTTAATTTAATTTAGTATATTTCCTATAGGTAATTGCACATTAACAAATTTAGGTAAAACCATAGTGATCAAATGCACGATAAAGAGCTGTCTTCATTAGAGATTTGGGATAGTATCTCAGTTCTGACCTCCCGATTGCCCAAAAAACATGATGTACGTTAGTACGTACAACAATGATATAACCAAGTTTTTCACTTTTCATAAACTCAAAAAGTTACACTTCCCTACCGTCCTACAAAACCTGGACAAATTTGACTAGTACGTGAAATAATAAATTAAAAACTGTGTTTTTAAATTTATGCGGTGGAGATAAAAATAATTTTAAACACATTTCTCATTTGAGATGAGATTGACAATATATTTTAAGACTGCTAAATATATTTATGCATCCCAAGTATTAGAATTCCACACCGGAAAAATTTGAATTAACAAAGTACTATATTAAAACATGAGCTACTCTTTTTATAAAGCTTTTAGGATGGAAACTCGAGTCTTAACACTAATGCTTCATAAACCTTTCAAACCTTGAGAGAAAATTCTGGCAAAAGATTCCATTTGTTCAACGGACAATGCCAAACCCACCTCCAGTCCACCTGCGTCATCCTTGGCCGCACCAACAGAAATGGCCCCGGTCACATCAATAGAAGGAATGTCAAACTTTGTAGGCCTCCCCCATCCGAAATCCAGCTCATAATAGTCAAACTTGGGCGAGCCAGCCAGGCTCATACCCATCGTCATCCTGGACATACTCGTCAACCAGTCAGTGGCGCCTTTCAGCACTCCATCCTTATCCTCATTGTATAATTGGCTACGAATTCCCTCCCCAATCGCCTCAGCCGCCTCTACAAATCCTCCATCTCCCATTAGGCTTTTCCTGCTTGTGCTTCCCAAACATGGCATGACACAATTGCCAAAGTAGTTTGTAGGTAAGGGAGGGTCCAAACGAGCCCGACAATTGGCCAGGCACAAAAAAAACTCCATTTCTTCTTCTTCACCTTCTTGCATGTCTCCCTCATTTATCTCATTTCTTGATCTAACTAGGCAACTCCATACATATGAACAAGTCACTGTAAACGAAGAGACGTGTACTAATTTTGGACTTCGTGCGAGTACGTGTTTCTTAAGTCGTTGAATGTCGTCTCGTGTCACTACAAAAGTAGACCGGACCTTGTCGGTGACAAGTGGAAGGCGGAAGCCATTATGTGCTTCCTCAATGTTGATGGTTTTCACAAAGTCCCAATAAATCTTTGCTAGTCCTTTCGGATCTTTGAATAGTGTTCTATCAAGAACCGGCAAATATTGAGATGGTAATAACATTGAAAACTTGCCTTTGTCGTCGTCTTTGTGGTGGCTAGAAAAGAATGCCCAAGCCTTCATGAACTCGAATATGCTACTCCCGTCACCCGTTGTGTGGTGGTTGGTCACACCTATGCATATCCCGACATCGGGAAATAGTGTTACTTGTAATGCGAACAATGGGATTGAGAGTGAGCCATCCGGTGCTCGTGAAGTCGGGAGTAGTCTTGGAATTAGTGGGTTCAAATTCATTGAACTTCTTGCATCGTTTGACACTAGGTGGCTAAAATCGTTGGAGTTCGTTGAGTCGAACTCCGCGATGACCAGCGGAATGGTGTCACCCTCCACATAACGAATTTCCGGCATGTTTATTTTGTCGGGTGAGACAATCACTCTACCTGCTAAGGGACTATAGTGTTGGAGAGTTTGGGATAATGAATCTTTCATCTTAGGAATTAGATAATCCACAAAATCAGTTCTTGATATGGGGTGGTGATAAAATATGAGTCGATGCACTGGCGGTGCTATTAGCCACGCCATGTCAATAAATGTTAGGGGAATGGATATTTCGGCGGTTGTTTCCGGCGGTGGAGAAACCGCAATTTGGTGCAATACGGTGACGGTTTGAGGTATGGCCATGGGGATATGATGATATTCTTTGCAATTTTGAGAGTATCCGTCTTTAGAGTGGCCTTTAAATAATACCACAAGGATTACTTGGAGAGTTGGAGGAAGACCAGTTTATCTTATGTCATACCTGACGTTACGTTAACGTTGGCAGTTGGAGCCAACGTTACGTTAACGGAGGATATTTACATCTCCTAATCTCAATTGAGTTGGTATAAGTCAACAATTGTTGACATTGAACAAAGATATGTTCCAATTTCAAAGAAACGCGTCTTAAGTTTATCTGAGACGTGCGTGGTTAAAATATACTCGTCCCTTTTTAGTTTGCCAAATAAAATTTTTCCATTCAAAGTTGTTCAACTTTGATTGATTATATATTTATATAGAGATATTATCCAAAATGGGACTAAAAAAGTTTGAAAATTCCAAAATAGGACTTCCATGTTTTTATTCCCCAAATAGGACTAATTACTGTCATATTTTGGCAGTACCCAGATTTCAGACATGGCAGTATTTTCCAAATTTGGAAGTAATTAGTCCTATTTTGGGAATAAAAACATGACAGTCCTATTTTGGAATTTTTGAACTTTTTTAGTCCCATTTCGGGAACTTTCCCATTTAAATACGGTAATATTAATAACAAGAAAACTATATGAAAATTATACATTTGTATACGGTCATATTGATAACAAGAAAATTATATGAAAATGTTCTTTGTTGAAAATATTATCATAAAAGTATAAATTTATTAACTTTTACATAAATATATTAGTTAAAATAATGGATCCAAGTTTATCATCCTTGACTGAAAAAGTCAAAGTTGGCAAACTAAAAAGGGACGGAGGTAGGGTACCATAGTACTCCGTATAATTTTTTATTCTATTCTCTAGTACTCCCTTTGTCCTGCTAAAATATTCTCATCTTTCCTTTTTAGTCCATCTCACTAAAATTGTTTCGTATCAAATTTGATAAAATTTATGTGATTCTAACGCATTCTTACTTTATCAATTCGATATCGCTCACATAAACCTTTTTTTTAATAATCGTGACACCTTCTCATATGACATTGTTAATGAGAAGGATGTAATATTTAATAAGAATATAAGATTATAAAAAGTGTGCGTTTGTAAGTATGTGTTTATATAGTGATATAAACGCACAACATAGTGGGATAAAATTTACATTGAACAAAGAGAGTATATATAAGTTTCAAATTAAAAAAAAATCAAATCAAACAAAATATAAGTAGAGTTTTTTACATATATAAATATTACCAATAGTAAACATGCTTACAAAAAAGTTACCAAGATAAGTAAATACGTATGCAGACACATATCGAAAGAATTAAAAGGACCTTCTTGCCCGGCCCGTAGAATGATTATGTTATGAAGAAATTAGGAAAGGCTGAATTTGCGTTCTATGGACGAAAATCACGAAATTGATGATTCATAGCAAAAAATGGAGATGAAAATGCAACCCTATATTAAGAACGTGCAAACGTGAGACAAAAAAATTGAGCCGCAAAACTTTGTTAAAAAAGAGAGGACATCATTGTAAACTAATTTGGTTCATCGGTTGTAAAATTCAACCCTATATTTATATTCATTTGCTTGTTTTCCGAAGTTGATACTTCCTCCGTTCCCTTTTAATTGCAACAGTCAACATTTCACGTTTGCCAACGCACAAGTTTGACCATAAATATCTTTCATTCCTTATTAGTAAAAAATTCAAAAAATTCATATTTTGAAAATTTAGAATGAGAAGAATTTAATAATATTTTTAAAAAAAATTAATTTATAATACATTAATGAGTAAAATAGAGTCAAAGTAGAATATATGAATAGTCCAAAAAGTACAATGTTGCGATTAAAAGGGAACGGAGGATAGTATATGTGATGCGGCAATCTGATGTAATAGCATGTACGGTAGTAATTGTGATAGGGATCTCCTAGATATAGTAATGTACTAGAAGTAACTAATGATCAGTAAAGAGGCAGTAGTCACTTAGCTTTTACTATTTTATTAATTACTTGAATTAAAATAATTATTCACATGGTAGTCACTGAGATTAAATAGAGGAAAATGTAAGGGTTTCGGTAGTAAGGTAGTAATGGAAAGGTAGTATTGTAGCCGAAGTAACTAATGAATTAGACATTCGTGACTTGTCATGTTCGAGAATTAGACGAATTAGTTCTAGGTACTTCTCTGCCTTAGAATTTCAATAGCCTGCCATCATGTGCAATGACAAGTCAACAAATGAATCAAGGTTTAGAGCTAGGTAATACTCCGTAGGAATTACGAAAGGAGGATCAAATCATCAAATACCATAGGAATTCAGGGCCACAGTTTCGGTGGATAAGATATTTGGGAACGAGAGTGTTTACAGATCAGAGAAGGTGAGAGAGCGAGGTCAAAGATGGAATAGCGGAAAAGCGTTTCTATTAATTTAAACATCAGGTAATCTTTAGTGATATTTATGTTGAAGACTTCCACCGGTAATACCTATGTAATTTATCGGCACAAACAAAGAAAAGAGAATAAATTACAGAGGGACAGATGAGGATCGGATATTCGGATATATAGGTACTAACATTTTATAGTATTCTTGCTTTCTAGATTCAAGACTAATATAGAGAGTATTAGGGTTGGTTTGCAACTTCTTTTAAAAAAGGACTTCTCGGGTTTTGGCTTTAAAAAAAACACTTATTTTCTCAAACACTACAACTTTTATTTTTCTCGGCTTCCGCGTCAAAAGTGCTTTTACTTTTTCTATTACACAAAAAGCACTTATTTTACCAAACACTACCCACTTTTACTTTTTAAAATCACCTTTTTCTCAAACACTATCAACTTTTATTTAATCACTTCTCCTCATTTCATTGAAAAAAGCACTTTTTTAAAAGCAGAAGTTGTTGCAAACAGACCCTTAATCATACAATCAACTTAAATCATGTTCAATTTCTTACTTTATATAATAAGATTTGATCGATTATAAATTGGGGAAATTATCCTAAATAGAACTAAAAACATTTATATATTCTAAAATAGAGTTATCATATTTTTATTCCCAAAATAGTACTAGTTAATGTCATGTTTTGATAGTACCATACTTTAACATGACAGTATTTTCCAAATTTGACGGTAATCACTCCTATTTTGGGAATAAACTCATGACAATCGTATTTTAGAATTTTTAAACTTTTTTACTTCTATCTCCAGAATTTTTGCGATTCAATAAAACATCTAGAAGAGTGTTTGAATATGTTGTTTTTTATTATTAACACAGGAAATCTAGGGCCCGCTTGGTGATCCATGGTTACGGTTTATCATTTTTTTTATCATCAAACGGGCCTCTATTCATATCAAAAGATTCAGGATCATTACATCAAGCAAAAGGAAAATAAAACTGACACCAACTGAAACTTCAACAACTACGACTGTAACCCTATGGTGAGACTTTGAGACGGTCACCCATGAGAGAGCAACATGGATCGCTAACCATGTAGTGGGCTACGGTTTATCAATTTTACCAACCATTTTAGTTTTTTCTCATACTTCGTATAATTTTGAGATAAAAAAAGGAAGTTAGCAAAGTTTCTTGACGGTGGGAGTACAAATTTTAGGACTTTTAATTTATGAACGTTACTTGTCTAATTTTATATAAAAGTATTTATATAAATTAGTGTAGAGAACACAATTAAAAGAAACAATAATTTCGTATTTGGGCTAAAGACAACTACATTTTTTTTGTACTTCATTGGTTTTGGTTGACACTACTAGAAAAATGGTCTATAGTGACACTAAATTAGTGTCACAGAAAGTTTTTCTGACACTAGAAAAGTGTCAAAGAAGGTCGGGAATTGTGACACTAAATTTAGTGTCACAGATGAAGTGTCACAAATTTCTGACATTTTAGTGTTACAAAATACGATGATACATTTGCAACAAAAAAATTAAAACACTTATGTGTCATACAAGTGTGTGATACATTTGTATCAAAATATTTCAAAACACAATTGTGTCAAAAAAATTGATGACACCATAGCATCATAAATCTTGATGACTTTTTTATATCATGCAGTTTAGTTTAGTGACACTGTAATATCATACATTCAGAACTCATATATCCATTCAATTGTACCTCACATTTGCATTCAATCATTAGATATTTCTTTCATAAAACCCATTCAAATAATAATATATTTGAATGTCTAATTCACATTTCAAATGATTACCAAGAATTCATTGCTTCCATAAGTCAAAGTAAAAAACAGCCCAACAATGTTCAAAATGGCTGCTCTTACTTATCTACAAACATTCAAGTTCCTAAAAATACTCGCTTAGTTTAGCTACAGTTATAATACTTCATCATACAACAACACATTAAAAGCCATTCCTAGTTCAAAAACATGTGGCCAAAAGTATGCATGCCAAAAACATATCCTTCACCAAAGAGGACAAAAACATGCCAAAAACATATCCTTCTTCAAAGGGCTCCTTCAAAACAGTCTGTCAGCATCCATTGAATTAGTCACTAATCACTGCAATGAGAAAATTTTTATTAATTAAACATGAATGTAACACACCGACCCATTCTCTCGAGTTTGAATCTAAACAATAATTTGATAAACTGAAATCATGCACATACGCTTTCATCAAAGTTGCTGCATAAGAAACCCATTCTTCCCGTACTTCTAAAATATCTTGCTCAGAATACTCTTTAACAGCAGAGAACTACATCATTATATGCAAAATTAGCATTTAATGATAAATAACATAGAAATGTGTAGAGAACTGCTCTAACTCACATTGTTGAGGATAGAGACATCAGTTACCACATCTTTCATGTATTTCATCATGTAATATCCACATTCCACACATCCAACTTGTTTCGGGCACTACAAACAATGAAACACACAAGCAAATATATATATGTATACACACACATATATACACACACATACACACACATATATACACACACGCAAATATAAAAGAACTGTCTCAATACTACTAGAAATATAGTTTTTAC